TCATGAATGCTAATAAACTTTTTAGGCAGGGACCGGTCAACATTTATATATAGCTGAGATGATTCCCAAGGGCCAAAAATACTTGTATAATCATAAATTTATGTAGATATATTGAATAAAATTTGTTTTTTAATAAACTTCTTGTCAGCAGCTATGTCCATTATTATAAATAAGTAGTCTGTTTAGAAGTACTATATTTTCCACTGGGTGATGTTTGCCACAAGTCGCCAATGAGACATATTTATTACTTTCGCGGTCTTTATCAATGATCTAAATAGATACTTGTTTTACAGTTTTAACTCACACACAGATAATGTTCTCTACAGATTTCTATACATTTGCGGTCAGTCAAAACTTTGATGTATCACTATTTGATTAGTATTTCAATAGGCACGTGCATAGTATGACCGGACAATTTGGACTGTGCAATGAAATTAGTTTTTAAACAACATTTTATGAATTCAATTGTTTTGACGTATATTCTTGTTTTGCATTTGTTTTATTATTCTGAACTTTGTCGTAAATTTAGGCATAAGTGTCTTACACGGAGTATGTGTCATAATCTTGGACAAAAGACTTAAATTCATTTACTCTTTTCATTTAATTATTTATTCTCTGTAACAGTTTAGACAATAATTTACTTATACGTGTCGGACATTAATTACTCTTCTAATCTATTGTTATTTCTATTTGGCATATGTTAATCTTCTTAATCCTTTAATTGCTTGTGCTTATATATATATTGTTATTGATTGTATGTTACTTTACTTTTGGTTTGGATTTGTTGTTCGGTCTTGCCGTACTGGTATAATAAAAGTTTAAGGAGCGAAATATTCCTTCTTTATTTCCATTTAGCCGGAACGCAATTTTACCCGGCTATATCTGGTGTTAGGACATCCGGGCAACGCATCTATCGGATACCTTGTTCTACCTGTGAAGCTGATTCCCCAGCAAACAGAAAAATGGATACGCGTAAAACCAGAAATTATGGTCGAGACTGGAGATACCAGATGTCTGATCATGGAACTACCTTTCAGATAAGAAATTTTCAACATATGGACAACTACCTATGTAAGTTTTGTGGAAAGACTGTGAACAATCAATTTCATTTTCGACAATGTATAGCAAAAATGTCATTTTGCTATAAGTGCAGAAGTTTTGGACATTACGCCAGAATGTGTAATTTTCACAGACAACCGGACGTGAAAGTTGTTAAGGTTAAATCGAAATCCAAGTTACGTCGTGACGCAGAAAGAATGAGAAAATTCAAAGAACAGAAAGCTATGTCAATGTTTCCTTGTGCGGAACTTAATACCATAGAACTGATGGACTTCTTTCCAACCTTAGAATATAACAAGGAATTCATAGATAACGTAAGACTCAGGCACGACCGAGTGAATTCCGAGAGAGTTAAATTCAAAATTAAAAGTGTACACTATGAAAAGAAATTTAAAAAATTAAATCAAAAGCATACCAGTGTTGTTAGCAATCTAGAAAAACTTCAAAAACAAAACGCAGATGACCAAAAAGAAATGGAAAAATTACGTGAACGCATTAATAACCTTGAAGAATCTAATTTTGGGCTGTACGGTCAAAGATGTGAAGCAATCGATAAGCAATTCAATCTACAACGCGATAAAGAACATATGCGGGATCGAATCACCAAACTAGAAGACGAATTGGACAAATTTCGGAAAAATACAAGAGAAGATAACTATTCAAACCAAAACTATCGTTACCGAGGACGCCACAACCACAGAAGAAACTTTCGGAACCATAATTTCAGATGAACAGTAAGACCCGGTCGTGTCTTCAAGGGCCGCGGGAATATATGACCGGACAATTTGGACTGTGCAATGAAATTAGTTTTTAAACAACATTTTATGAATTCAATTGTTTTAACGTATATTCTTGTTTTGCATTTGTTTTATTATTCTGAACTTTGTCGTAAATTTAGGCATAAGTGTCTTACACGGAGTATGTGTCATAATCTTGGACAAAAGACTTAAATTCATTTACTCTTTTCATTTAATTATTTATTCTCTGTAACAGTTTAGACAATAATTTACTTATACGTGTCGGACATTAATTACTCTTCTAATCTATTGTTATTTCTATTTGGCATATGTTAATCTTCTTAATCCTTTAATTGCTTGTGCTTATATATATATTGTTATTGATTGTATGTTACTTTACTTTTGGTTTGGAGTTTGTTGTTCGGTCTTGCCGGACTGGTAAAATAAAAGTTTAAGGAGCGAAATATTCCTTCTTGATTTCCATTTAGCCGGAACGCAATTTTACCCGGCTACATGAGTATGAAAGAGATATTCCGGACATTAAGCTGTTCTTCATCTAATTATAGAGTTTCAAATGCACATGGAATTTTGGGTCATTTAAGGTCTTTCACCTCTAGGATTTCGGGACCTGACTCAAGCTAGCGAACAATTGTAGCGAACAATTAGCTAGCGAACAATTAGGAGGTATAACTAAAAACCACAATATCACATAAGGTTATCACGTTTTTTCGAGCTAGCGAACAATTATGAGAATACATACAATCTTAAACAAAAACGAAAAAACTAACTTAAAACAAAAGGGAAACTATACTTCATATATAAAGAATACAAAGCTTTTCTTTCCTAACTAAATAAATCCACATAAGGCATTCAATAGACAGCTGGATTACAATGACCATAAGTTAACACAATGACACAATGCATTTTTAGGGAATGGGGGTGCACTTTACGTTGTTTGGTCCGATTAATAGAGATTGTGACAGGTTAGGCTATATAGGTGTTTAAGAGGAGATAGTGCCGCATAGTTTAGGAAAATCTCCAGAGTGGTTTATGTTCGAAAATCTTAAATTGTGGTAGAAAAAAACTGAAATTAACAAAATGAAATTTGGGTATAGGACATTTTAAGTTAATTTTTGACCAATTTGAACAGATTGTTACAGGCAACGACTATATAGGTGTTTTAGAGGAGACATTTCTGCATCGGTTTAGGAAAATCTCCAGAGAGGTTTATGTTCGAAAATCTGAAGTTACGGTAAAAAAACTGAAATTGACAAAATAAGATTAGGGGGGTAGGGCACTAAAAGTTAATGTTGAACCAATTTATAGAGATTGTGACGGGCAACGACTATATAGTTGTTGTAGAGGAGACATTGGCGCATCGTTTAAGAAAATCCAGATCACTTTATGTTCGAAAATCGGAAGTTAGGGTTAAAAACTGAAACTTTCAAAATGAGATTGTGGGGTTGGGCACTCAAAGTTAATTTTGGACCAATTTATAGAGATTATGACGGGCAATGACTATAAAAGTGTTGTAGAGTAGACATTGGCGCATCGTTTAAGAAAATCTCAAGATTGGTTTATGTTCGAAAATCTGAACTTACGGTTAAAAAACTGAAATTGTGAAATTGAATAAATGAGATTAGGGGGTAGGCCAATTTAAGTTAATTTTGAACCAATTTAAGGAGATTGTGACGGGCAATGACTATATAGGTGTTGTAGGGGAGACAATGGCGCATTGTTTAAGAAAATCTCGAGAGTGGTTTATGTTCGAAAATCTGAAGTTACGGTTAAAAAACTGAAAATTTTATTGTGAAATTGACAAAATGAGATTAGGGGGGTAGGGCAATATAAGTTAATTTTGGACCAATTTCAAGAGATTGTGACGGACAACAACTATATAGGTGTTGTAGAGGAGACAATGGCGCATCCTTTTAAGAAAATCTCCAGAGTGGTTTATGTTCGAAAATCTGAACTTACGGTTAAAAAACTGAAATTGTGAAATTGACAAAATGAAATTAGGGGGTATGCCAATTTAACTTAATTTTGGACCATCTTCAAGAGATTGTGACGGGCAACGACTATATAGGTGTTGTAGAGGAGACAATGGCGCATCGTTTAAGAAAATCTCCAGAGTGGTTTATGTTCGAAAATCTGAAGTTACGGTTAAAAAACTGAAATTGTGAAATTGACAAAATGAGATTAGGGGGGTAGGGCAATTTAAGTTAATTTTGGACCAATTTCAAGAGATTGTGACGGGCAACGACTATATAGGTGTTGTAGAGGAGACAATGGCGCATCGTTTCTGAAAATTTCAAGAGTGGTTTATGTTCGAAAATCTGAAGTTACGATTAAAAACTTTTATTGTGAAATTGACAAAATGAGATTAGGGGGGTAGGGCAATTTAAGTTAATTTTGGACCAATTTCAAGAGATTGTGACGGACAACAACTATATAGGTGTTGTAGAGGAGACAATGGCGCATCCTTTTAAGAAAATCTCCAGAGTGGTTTATGTTCGAAAATCTGAACTTAGGTTAAAAAACTGAAATTGTGAAATTGACAAAATGAAATTAGGGGGTATGCCAATTTAAGTTAATTTTGGACCATCTTCAAGAGATTGTGACGGGCAACGACTATATAGGTGTTGTAGAGGAGACAATTGCGCATCGTTTAAGAAAATCTCCAGAGTGGTTTATGTTCGAAAATCTGAAGTTACGGTTAAAAAACTGAAATTGTGAAATTGACAAAATGAGATTAGGGGGTAGGCCAATTTAAGTTAATTTTGGACCAATTTCAAGAGATTGTGACGGGCAACGACTATATAGGTGTTGTAGAGGAGACAATTGCGCATCGTTTAAGAAAATCTCCAGAGTGGTTTATGTTCGAAAATCTGAAGTTACGATTAAAAACTTTTATTGTGAAATTGACAAAATGAGATTAGGGGAGTAGGGCAATTTAAGTTAATTTTTGACCAATTTCAAGAGATTATGACGGTCAACAACTATATGGATGTTGTAGAGGAGACAATGGCGCATCGTTTAAGAAAATCTCCAGAGTGGTTTATGTTCGAAAATCTGAAGTTACGGTTAAAAAACTGAAATTGTGAAATTGACAAAATGAGATTAGGGGGGTAGGCCAATTTAAGTTAATTTTGAACCAATTTCAAGAGATTATGACGGTCAACAACTATATGGATGTTATAGAGGAGACAATGGCGCATCGTTTAAGAAAATCTCCAGAGTGGTTTATGTTCGAAAATCTGAAGTTACGGTTAAAAAACTGAAATTGTGAAATTGACAAAATGAGATTAGGGGGGTAGGCCAATTTAAGTTAATTTTGGACCAATTTCAAGAGATTGTGACGGGCGACGACTATATAGGTGTTGTAGAGGAGACAATTGCGCATCGTTTAAGAAAATCTCCAGAGTGGTTTATGTTCGAAAATCTGAAGTTACGGTTAAAAAACTGAAATTGTGAAATTGACAAAATGAGATAAGGGGGTAGGCCAATTTAAATTAATTTTGGACCAATTTTAAGAGATTGTGACGGGCAACGACTATATAGGTGTTGTAGAGGAGACAATGGCGCATCGTTTAAGAAAATCTCCAGAGTGGTTTTTGTTCGAAAATCTGAAGTTACCATTAAAAAACTGAAACTTTTATTGTGAAATTGACAAAATGAGATTAGGGGGGTAGGGCAATTTAAGTTAATTTTGGACCAATTTCAAGAGATTGTGACGGGCAACGACTATATAGGTGTTGTAGAGGAGACAATGGCGCATCGTTTAAGAAAATCTCTAGAGTGGTTTATGTTCGAAAATCTGAAGTTACGGTTAAAAAACTGAAAATTTTATTGTGAAATTGACAAAATGAGATTAAGGGGATAGGGCACTAAAAGAAAAATTTGGACCATTTTAAAGAGATTGTGACGGGCAACGACTATATAGGTGTTGTAGAGGAAACAATGGCGCATCGTATAAGAAAATCTCCAGAGTGGTATATGTTTGAAAATCTGAAGTTACGGTTAAAAAACTGAAATTGTGAAATTGACAAAATGAGATTAGGGGGGTAGGCCAATTTAAGTTAATTTTGGACCAATTTCAAGAGATTATGACGGGCAACAACTATATGGATGTTGTAGAGGAGACAATGGCGCATCGTTTAAGAAAATCTCCAGAGTGGTTTATGTTCGAAAATCTGAAGTTTCGGTTAAAAAACGGAAATTGTGAAATTGACAAAATGAGATTAGGGGGGTAGGCCAATTGAAGTTAATTTTGGACCAATTTCAAGAGATTGTGACGGACAACGACTATATAGGTGTTGTAGACCAGATAATGACGCATCGTTTAAGAAAATCTCCAGAGTGGTTTTTGTTCGAAAATCTGAAGTTACCATTAAAAAACTGAAACTTTTATTGTGAAATTGACAAAATGAGATTAGGGGGGTAGGGCAATTTAAGTTAATTTTGGACCAATTTCAAGAGATTGTGACGGGCAACGACTATATAGGTGTTGTAGAGGAGACAATGGCGCATCGTTTAAGAAAATCTCTAGAGTGGTTTATGTTCGAAAATCTGAAGTTACGGTTAAAAAACTGAAAATTTTATTGTGAAATTGACAAAATGAGATTAAGGGGATAGGGCACTAAAAGAAAAATTTGGACCATTTTAAAGAGATTGTGACGGGCAACGACTATATAGGTGTTGTAGAGGAAACAATGGCGCATCGTATAAGAAAATCTCCAGAGTGGTATATGTTCGAAAATCTGAAGTTACGGTTAAAAAACTGAAATTGTGAAATTGACAAAATGAGATTAGGGGGGTAGGCCAATTTAAGTTAATTTTGGACCAATTTCAAGAGATTATGACGGGCAACAACTATATGGATGTTGTAGAGGAGACAATGGCGCATCGTTTAAGAAAATCTCCAGAGTGGTTTATGTTCGAAAATCTGAAGTTTCGGTTAAAAAACGGAAATTGTGAAATTGACAAAATGAGATTAGGGGGGTAGGCCAATTGAAGTTAATTTTGGACCAATTTCAAGAGATTGTGACGGACAACGACTATATAAGTGTTGTAGACCAGATAATGACGCATCGTTTAAGAAAATCTCCAGAGTTGTTTATGTTCGAAAATCTGAAGTGACGATTAAAAAACTTAAACTTTTATTGTGAAATTGACAAAATGAGATTAGGGGGTAGGGCAATTTAAGTTAATTTTAGATCCATTTTAAGAGATTGTGACGGGCAACGACTATATAGGTGTTGTAGAAGAAACAATGGCGCATCGTTTAAGAAAATCTCCAGAGTGGTTTATGTTCGAAAATCTGAAGTTACGATTAAAAACTTTTATTGTGAAATTGACAAAATGAGATTAGGGGAGTAGGGCAATTTAAGTTAATTTTGGACCAATTTCAAGAGATTGTGACGGGCAACAACTATAAAGGTGTTGTAGAGGAAACAATGGCGCATCGTTTAAGAAAATCTCCAGAGTGGTTTATGTTCGAAAATCTGAAGTTACGGTTAAAAAACTGAAATTGTGAAATTGACAAAATGAGATAAGGGGGTAGGCCAATTTAAATTAATTTTGGACCAATTTTAAGAGATTGTGACGGGCAACGACTATATAGGTGTTGTAGAGGAGACAATGGCGCATCGTTTAAGAAAATTTCCAGAGTGGTTTTTGTTCGAAAATCTGAAGTTACCATTAAAAAACTGAAACTTTTATTGTGAAATTGACAAAATGAGATTAGGGGGGTAGGGCAATTTAAGTTAATTTTGGACCTATTTCAAGAGATTGTGACGGGCAACGACTATATAGGTGTTGTAGAGGAGACAATGGCGCATCGTTTAAGAAAATCTCTAGAGTGGTTTATGTTCGAAAATCTGAAGTTACGGTTAAAAAACTGAAAATTTTATTGTGAAATTGACAAAATGAGATTAAGGGGATAGGGCACTAAAAGAAAAATTTGGACCATTTTAAAGAGATTGTGACGGGCAACGACTATATAGGTGTTGTAGAGGAAACAATGGCGCATCGTATAAGAAAATCTCCAGAGTGTTATATGTTCGAAAATCTGAAGTTACGGTTAAAAAACTGAAATTGTGAAATTGACAAAATGAGATTAGGGGGGTAGGCCAATTTAAGTTAATTTTGGACCAATTTCAAGAGATTATGACGGGCAACAACTATATGGATGTTGTAGAGGAGACAATGGCGCATCGTTTAAGAAAATCTCCAGAGTGGTTTATGTTCGAAAATCTGAAGTTTCGGTTAAAAAACGGAAATTGTGAAATTGACAAAATGAGATTAGGGGGGTAGGCCAATTGAAGTTAATTTTGGACCAATTTCAAGAGATTGTGACGGACAACGACTATATAGGTGTTGTAGACCAGATAATGACGCATCGTTTAAGAAAATCTCCAGAGTGGTTTTTGTTCGAAAATCTGAAGTTACCATTAAAAAACTGAAACTTTTATTGTGAAATTGACAAAATGAGATTAGGGGGGTAGGGCAATTTAAGTTAATTTTGGACCAATTTCAAGAGATTGTGACGGGCAACGACTATATAGGTGTTGTAGAGGAGACAATGGCGCATCGTTTAAGAAAATCTCTAGAGTGGTTTATGTTCGAAAATCTGAAGTTACGGTTAAAAAACTGAAAATTTTATTGTGAAATTGACAAAATGAGATTAAGGGGATAGGGCACTAAAAGAAAAATTTGGACCATTTTAAAGAGATTGTGACGGGCAACGACTATATAGGTGTTGTAGAGGAAACAATGGCGCATCGTATAAGAAAATCTCCAGAGTGGTATATGTTCGAAAATCTGAAGTTACGGTTAAAAAACTGAAATTGTGAAATTGACAAAATGAGATTAGGGGGGTAGGCCAATTTAAGTTAATTTTGGACCAATTTCAAGAGATTATGACGGGCAACAACTATATGGATGTTGTAGAGGAGACAATGGCGCATTGTTTAAGAAAATCTCCAGAGTGGTTTATGTTCGAAAATCTGAAGTTTCGGTTAAAAAACGGAAATTGTGAAATTGACAAAATGAGATTAGGGGGGTAGGCCAATTGAAGTTAATTTTGGACCAATTTCAAGAGATTGTGACGGACAACGACTATATAGGTGTTGTAGACCAGATAATGACGCATCGTTTAAGAAAATCTCCAGAGTTGTTTATGTTCGAAAATCTGAAGTGACGATTAAAAAACTTAAACTTTTATTGTGAAATTGACAAAATGAGATTAGGGGGTAGGGCAATTTAAGTTAATTTTAGATCCATTTTAAGAGATTGTGACGGGCAACGACTATATAGGTGTTGTAGAAGAAACAATGGCGCATCGTTTAAGAAAATCTCCAGAGTGGTTTATGTTCGAAAATCTGAAGTTACCGTTAAAAAACTGAAATTATGAAATTGACAAAATGAGATTAGGGGTAGGCCAATTAAGTTAATTTTGGACCTATTTCAAGAGATTGTGACGGGCAACGACTATATAGGTGTTGTAGAGGAGACAATGGCGCATCGTTTAAGAAAATCTCCAGAGTGGTTTATGTTCGAAAATCTGAAGTTACGGTTAAAAAACTGAAATTGTGAAATTGACAAAATGAGATTAGGGGGGTAGGCCAATTTAAGTTAATTTTGGACCAATTTCAAGAGATTGTGACGGGCAACGACTATATAGGTGTTGTAGAGGAGACAATTGCGCATCGTTTAAGAAAATCTCCAGAGTGGTTTATGTTCGAAAATCTGAAGTTACGATTAAAAACTTTTATTGTGAAATTGACAAAATGAGATTAGGGGGGTAGGGCAATTTAAGTTAATTTTGGACCAATTTCAAGAGATTGTGACGGACAACAACTATATAGGTGTTGTAGAGGAGACAATGGCGCATCCTTTTAAGAAAATCTCCAGAGTGGTTTATGTTCGAAAATCTGAACTTACGGTTAAAAAACTGAAATTGTGAAATTGACAAAATGAAATTAGGGGGTATGCCAATTTAAGTTAATTTTGGACCATCTTCAAGAGATTGTGACGGGCAACGACTATATAGGTGTTGTAGAGGAGACAATGGCGCATCGTTTAAGAAAATCTCCAGAGTGGTTTATGTTCGAAAATCTGAAGTTACGGTTAAAAAACTGAAATTGTGAAATTGACAAAATGAGATAAGGGGGTAGGCCAATTTAAATTAATTTTGGACCAATTTCAAGAGATTGTGACGGGCAACGACTATATAGGTGCTGTAGAGGAAACAATGGCGCATCGTTTAAGAAAATCTCCAGAGTGGTTTATGTTCGAAAATCTGAAGTTACGGTTAAAAAACTGAAATTGTGAAATTGACAAAATGAGATAAGGGGGTAGGCCAATTTAAATTAATTTTTGACCAATTTTAAGAGATTGTGACGGGCAACGACTATATAGGTGTTGTAGAAGAGACAATGGCGCATCGTTTAAGAAAATCTCCAGAGTGGTTTATGTTTGAAAATCTGAAGTTACGGTTAAAAAACTGAAACTTTTATGGTGAAATTGACAAAATAAGATTAGGGGAGTAGGGCAACTTAAGTTAATTTTGGACCAATTTTAAGAGATTGTGACGGGCAACGACTATATAGGTGTTGTAGAAGAGACAATGGCGCATCGTTTAAGAAAATCTCCATAGTGGTTTATGTTCGATAATCTGAAGTTACGATTAAAAAACTGAAACTTTTATTGTGAAAATGACAAAATGAGATTAGGGGGGTAGGGCAATTTAAGTTAATTTTGGACCAATTTCAAGAGATTGTGACGGGCAACGACTATATAGGTGTTGTAGAGGAAACAATGGCGCATCGTTTAAGAAAATCTCAAGAGTGGTTTATGTTCGAAAATCTGAAGTTACGGTTAAAAAACTGAAATTGTGAAATTGACAAAATGAGATAAGGGGGGTAGGCCAATTTAAGTTAATGTTGGACCAATTTCAAGAGATTGTGACGGGCAACGACTATATAGGTGTTGTAGAGGAGACAATGGCGCATTGTTTAAGAAATTATCCAGAGTGGTTTATGTTCGAACATCTGAAGTTACGGTTAAAAAACTGAAAATTTTATTGTGAAATTGATAAAATGAGATTAAGGGGGTAGGACACTAAAAGAAAAATTTGGACCTTTTTAAAGAGATTGTGACGGGCAACGACTTTATAGGTGTTGTAGAGGAGACAATGGCGCTTCGTTTAAGAAAATCTCCAGAGTGGTTTATGTTCGAAAATCTGAAGTTACGATTAAAAAACTGAAACTTTTAATGTGAAATTGACAAAATGAGATTAGGGGGGTAGGGCAATTTAAGTTAATTTTGAACCAATTTCAAGAGATTGTGACGGACAACGACTATATAGGTGTTGTAGACGAGACAAAGGCGCATCTTTCAAGAAAATCTCCAGAGTGGTTTATGTTCGAAAATCTGAAGTTCCAGTTAAAAAACTGAAATTGTGAAATTGACAAACTGAGATTAGGGGGTAGGCCAATTTAAGTTAATTTTGGACCTATTTCAAGAGATTGTGACGGGCAACGACTATAAAGGTGTTGTAAAAGAGACAATGGCGCATTGTTTAAGAAATAATCCAGAGTGGTTTATGTTCGAAAATCTGAAGTTACGGTTAAAAAACTGAAAATTTTATTGCGAAATTGACAAAATGAGATTAAGGGGGTAGGGCACTAAAAGGAAATTTTGGACCACTTCAAAGAAATTGTGACGGGCAACGACTATATAGGTGTTGTAGAGGAGACATTGGCGCATCGTTTAAGAAAATATCCAGAGTGGTTTATGTTCGAAAATCTGATGTTACGGTTAAAAAACTGAAAATTTTATTGTGAAATTGACAAAATGAGATTAGGGGGGTAGGGCACTAAAAGGAAATTTTAGACCATTTCAAAGAGATTGTGACGGACAACGACTATATAGGTGTTGTAGAGGAGACATTGGCGCATCGTTTAGGAAAATCTCCAGAGTGGTTTATGTTCAAAATCTGAAGTAACGGTTAAAAAACTGAAATTGTAAAAACGAGGGATGGCGTACCTTAAGATGATTGAAGACCAATTTATAGAGATTATGACGGGCAACGACTGTATATGTAACGTAGAGGAGACATTAGAGAAGACATTGGCGTATCTATTTAGAAGAACTCCAGAATCGTTTATGTTTGGAAATCTGAAGTTAGGTTAAAAAAAATAGGGGGGGGGGGGTTGGGGGTTACCTTGTATAATGGAATGATGTTACTTTTTATACTTGTATAAAAAAGTACATCAATATTTTTCCCGCTATCCGACAGTATGTATACACCGTTTACAACACACTTTGTTGAAATCAACATTCTCTTGAGTCGGTAGTCCACAAACACGACAATGAAGTAAGTAATTTTTTTTATTGAAATAACAGGGTCCTAAAACTTTGACAATGTCATTTTATATTCTTTTTGCATATCTCTTTCTGTCAACTCCTTCGCCATCCACATAAAACATGGATGATTGTAAACGTGCACATTATTCATATTTGTATACTGCACATAACATAATTGATAATAATGGTCCCCAAAAATGGAAAGAAATATAATACAGTCCTATTAATTTTATTTTACTAATAAAAAAGAAGTGATTGCTGAAATAAAGAAGTAATTTGTCTGAAAGCTTTGGAATTATCTTGTTGAATGACCAAACCACACCCCTTCCCTTTTTTCGACGAGTCAACGGTCGTTAAACGTTCTACGGGTGAACGTACATTTATCTCCGAGCTTCGTTGAGTATAATAGGGTAATAGCTAAACTTCTGATAAACTTTGTCAAATTATTTGACTGAGACAATTTCATTTTTTCACAAAATAATGGAAAATATGAGAGAACAGTAATACAAAAACGAAATTTAAAACACAACTTTGATTTGAATTTAAAATTTTAATAGATGTTTATATCAATGTTTATTGTTTTGTCTGTCCGAACTCAGCATCTGTCAAATTCATAAATGTTATGGGGACGATACGCAAGTTTATGACAAGAGTTGATAGATGTTCGTCTGTGGTAGCTAATAACGGTTTATTATCTTTCTCGTGAATTAACTAGGTTGCACGTGTTCCAATTTAAGTGTTTGTCAACTTTTATGTTAATCAGTTGTTTCTAGATTTTAGAAGAATTAGCTGTGCGATATCGAACTTTTATTTTTTTAGAAAATAAATATATTTACATTTACTCGCGTGTGAAATAATTCTAGTGAAAAAAAATATAACAAAAAGGAATTCTATAACCTATCAATATTTTTAGCTTATTATGCCCCCGCCGTAGCGGAGGGGCATTAAGATTTACCCTTGTCCGTCTGTACGTCCGTGCGTCTGTACGTCCCAAATAATGCCAATGCTAAATATAAGGTAAAAGTCCAAGTCATCCTTTTCCCCCCCATTAAAAAAAACATATATCACAAAAAGGAATTCTATAACCTATCAATATTTTTAGTTTATTATGCCCCGCCGTAGCGGAGGGGCATTAAGCTTTACCCTTGTCCGTCTATACGTCCGTGCATCCGTACGTCCCAAATAATGCCGATGCTAAATATAATGTAAAAGTCCGAGTCATCCTTTTCGCCCCATTTAAAAAAAAATCATATATCACAAAAAGGAACTCGATAACCTATCAATATTTTTTTAGCTTATTATGCCCCCGCCGTAGCGGAGGGGCATTAAACTTTACCCTTGTCCGTCTGTACGTCCGTGCATCCGTATGTCCCAAATAATGCCAATGCTAAATTTAATGTAAAAGTCCGAGTCATCCTATTCGTCCTATTTAAAAAAAAAAAACATATAATTTTTATCACAAAAAGAGACTCGATAACCTACCAATATTATTTGGCTTATTATGCCCCCGCCGTAGCGGAGGGGCATTAAACTTTACCCTTGTCCGTCTGAACGTCCCTGTGTCCGTACGTCCCAAAATTGGTTTCCATTCTCTAACTTTAGTTTGCCTCAACCAATTGTCATAAAACTTTTACACAATATATAGATATAAGAAGATGTGGTATGAGTGCCAATGAGACAACTCTCCATCCAAGTCAAAATTTATAAAATTAAACAATTATAGGTCAAATTACGGTCTTCAACATGGAGCCTTAGCTCACACCGAACAGCAAGCTATAAAGGGCCTCAAAAATTACTAGTGTAAAACCATTCAAACGGGAAAACCAACGGTCTAATCTATATAAATAACGAGAAACGAGAAACACTTATGAACCACATCAACAAACGATGCTTATTACCACAAAACACAGATCAAATTTTAATTTTGGTGGCGTCACTTTTACCGTTCTAGAGTTATACTCCTTTACAAATAGAAAAATTGCTGAAATTTTCATTTCCGTTCTCTTTAACTCCAATTGGTCTCAACCAAATGTTATTTTGTTCCATAACTTATGCTCTTCTGACTTAAAGTATCAATTTTAGATCGGTTTTTATGTTAGAATTTCACCTACCTACACCCTACAGATGGCTTTATTACACATTTTTGAATATTCAAAAAGAGCTTTCTAAGGATAATTTTATATTCAACGTGTATAACTTCAATCGATGTTTTTACCTTTGACGTTTTTTTTTAAACTTTTATTTCCCGTCTTACGAAAAGAGAAGAAGTCTGTTTGTTAACATTTTACACCATATTCACACGAAAAAACATGATAACACTCGAAAAAGACCGATCAATTCACGCTTTAAAACGATCAAGGGCACACAATCGTCTATTTTGTCGTCGTGAAGTTTTCTTTTGATTTTTGTCGAGCCTGCGACTTTTGTCGCAAAAGCGAGACATAGCGATCCTACATTCCGTCGTCGGCGTTGTCGTCGTCGTCCGGCGTCGTCGGCGGCGTCCACAAATATTCACTCTGTGGTTAAAGTTTTTAAAATTTTAATAACTTTCTTAAACTATCCTGGATTTCTAATAAACTTGGACAGAAGCTTGTTTATGATTATAAGATAGTATCCAGAAGTAAATTTTGTAAAAAAAATCCTGTTTATCCGTATTTTACTCATAAATGGACTTAGTTTTTCTGCCAGTTAACATTACATTCACTCTGTGGTTAAAGTTTTTCAAATTTTAATAACTTTCTTAAACTATCCTGGATTTGTACCAACCTTGGACAGAAGCTAGTTTATAATCATAAGATAGTATCCAGAAGAAAATTTTGTAAAGAAAAATCCTGTTTATCCGTATTTTACTTATAAATGGACTTAGCTTTTCTGCCAGTTAACATAACATTCACTCTGTGGTTAAAGTTTTTCCAATTTTAATAACTTTCTTAAACTATCCTGGATTTGTACCATACTTGGACAGAAGCTTGTTTATGATCATAAGATAGTATTAAAAAGTTAATTTTGTTAAAAAAATAATCCTGTTTATCCGTATTTTACTTATAAATGGACTTAGTTTTTCTGCCAGTTAACATAACATTCACTCTGTGGTTAAAGTTTTTCAAATTTTAATAACTTTCTTAAACTATCCTGGATTTGTACCATACTTGGACAGGAGCTTGTTTATGATCATAAGATAGTATTCAAAAGTTAATTTTGTTAAAAAATAATCCTGTTTATCCGTATTTTACTTATAAATGGACTTAGTTTTTCTGCCAGTTAACATAACATTTACTGTGTGGTTAAAGTTTTTCAAATTTTA